CTGATCTACTTAGTCAGAGGAGGTAGTCGACCCAATCTGATTGAAGGGTTCTTGTCAGCAGTCATGTGTTGTGTTGTCCAATAGATCCTTGTAGATCTGGGTTGATTGTTTGTCTAAGAGGATAAATTTAAGTCAACCTTAATTAACATAAGACTCTATGTCAATCAATTATACTCTTACGATTCACAACTCAAATAATAGAAAGTCATTGGGTAACATACAGACTATGGTCGTGACCGTAATATAATATTGTCATTTGGTAACTGCTATTTTATGGTGTCATTTGACTGCAGAACAACACGAACAGAGGACTCGAGTCACATCCTTACAGACATGAAATTACTTTGATAATGAATATAGAGGAGCATTTGATATGACATTCATTTTTTTGTGAGTTGGAGTCAATCATAAATTTGTCGCTCTCAGCAAACTGTTGCTGAGGGTGGATAGAATTTGTTTTTAGCTTTTAGTGATTGAATTTTAATGTTTGTTTGGTTATTGAAAATTTGGATTTAAAAGGTTGACCCCTCCAATTGAAGATTTTGATCAACATAGCCATCATCAGGGTATTGAACATTTAAAGCTTTTATAATTGAAGTGGGGGTATTTAGTTTTGTCAATTTAAGTTTTTTAAAGCATAAGTCTTGTAGACTTCTGTCCTTACAAAGAGGAGGATCGAACTAGTTTGATGATTTGGATTTGTAAATTCATATTTTTATATTTGGACATTTATTAGGGCTTACTAAACTCGTTAACTCCAGTCCTTACAAGGAGGATGATCAGACTAATGGGTTAGGACTTTATCCTATAGATAAGGCGACCCCATTAGCCCACACAACATTCTTGAATCTAATATTTGAACATTCAATAGGTTTGGTTGGAGCACATGCAGACATATATATTTCATACATTTGACTTAAAGAACTTAGAGGTTTTGAAGACTTGTGCAACCTTTAAAGTATAACTATGATTTACAATCTAGATCAAGAGATTTTTGAAACCATGTATATAATTTTTATCTATATGAATCTCTTAAAGCATACATAATTTAAGATAGTACAAAATGAGTCTTAAAATATTTTCATATATTCTAAATCATTGCATTTGGCTTAGGAATAAGAAGAAGCTTATATAAGCTTTAAAGACCTTTAGCTATCTTGAAATTATAAGCTTTTATTTAAAAATTATTTAAAAGAATTTTGCAGCCCTAGATCTAATAGGGGCTAGGTGTTATGGGGCTCGCATAACGAGCGTTTTTCCTGGCTGGCCATCGGATGTGCGGATAACTGAGGAGATGCAGTGGCTGAATTCGGTCACTGGACAGTAAAATTTGGCTCGCATAACACAGTAAAAGGCTCGGTTCATGCCTTGCAAATAGGGGAGAGCGGCTCGGTTAAATACAGGAAGGATTGCAGAGGCTTAGGGCAGAGCAGGGTCGATCACAACGCAGGGAGAGGAGCTCGAGTGGTGCGAGGTAAGGCTGCGACAGGCTTCGGCAACGAGGAAGACAGTGACGCAGGGAAGAAGTTCACACATGACAGTGAGGAAGGAGGAGGCGTTGGCGAAAGGCTAGGGCAGATAGTCGCACAGGGAAAGGAGCTCAAGCGCGCAACGTAGAATCGCGTAGGGAAGGAGAAGTAGATGACTCGACGACTTTAAGCCAGGGTGGGCGAAGGCTAGGGCAGAAAGGGCGGCCTGCGTCGGTGTGCTCGATCGCGACAGAGAAGAAGATCGAGCTTCGACAGAGGGGAATCGCGAAGGTTAGGGCAGGTAATGCGGAAGGGGTTTTTGGCCTCATCAATTTGAAACGCAAGGACTGCGAGTTCGATTGAATCGCATGGAGATGGTGGAGAAGGTGCGACGCAGTGAGGAAGGAGAGGTCTCGGGGTCGAGCGGGCTAGGGCAGAGGTGATCCGATCTCCTGTGCAAGTGCTTCTACATGTGAAGAAGAAGACGGTGATGGGAGAAGTGCAGTGTGCGACAGAACCAAAATGTGAAGCAGGGAGATAGAGTCGTGCGAAGGACTTCAATGGTTTCGATGTAAGTAGATGAACGAAATGTCTCGGTGCAGAGGAAAGTGTTGTGCGTGATACAGTGCTCGAGGTTTTGATGGTGAACAGGAAGAAAAAACTATGATGAGATTGAAGTAAGATTTTATCTTCTGTGAAGTTCAAACAGAAAGAACAGTGCTGGCGGACAGAACAGGGAGTAGCGCCAGAGACCAAGGAATTTTGGGAGAGAAGAACGAAAGCAAAGGGGTAACCATGCGAATGAGAGGAACGAGAGCGGAGAAACGAAAAGAAACTGACGGGGAGAGGAGATGTGCAAATAGGCATAGTCCAGAGTCCTGTGAGAGGTGGGCTCACTATTGGCATAGTCCAGAGTCCTGTGAGAGGTGGGCTCACTGTATTCGAGTCTAAGGGCCTGTTTGGCGCAGCTGCAGATTCTCAGCTTTTCAGCTGCAGCTGCGCTGCCCCTGGAAGCAGCTGTAGGGAAGCAGCTGTGGGGAAGTTGACTGTCTGTTTGGTGCAGCTGTGTGAAAAATGTTGTGAGCCAGCTGTTAATGTAAAAATGACCAATCTGCCCCTGTCTGTTAAACTGTTTAAAATATTTCGATTTATTTGTATAAATATGGGCTTAATATACATAAAGTTTATAAAAAATATTATTTTTTACTTAATTAAATAAAATAAATGGTTTTCAACATTCATTTTATACATTTAAAAAAAAAAATGTAATTTTGAGCACAAATAGGTTTAAAATTTTTCTTCATCTATATATCAAAGTATATATGAATATTAATCCATCTATACAAATATACGAATCGAATACGAACTCATTGACGAACCGAACACGAACTGTTCGCGAACAACGAGCTTTTTTGACAGCCCTACTGTAATATACTGGTTGGTTAAATTTTTAAAAGGGGTGGAACCCACTTGCCCCGTGGCACCCTCTAAATGTTCCGACTTAAAATTTTTGCCTTCCACAGAAGCTTTAGTTTGTGCTTTTAACTGAGAAATAAAGGGCGGGAGCAGCTATTTCCACTAGGTGGCTCTCTTTGGCGGAAACATAAATAAATAATTTTTTATTTTATTTTACTTTATTTTTTTTCTCTTTTTTTATCTCGCAGTCAACACGTCGTCCGAGTAGATCTAAAACTAAATACATGAAATGCAATTTTAGTTGTAGTAGATATAGTGGCAAATTTATAATTATGGGTGATCTAATCATTAAAACGTGTGATTGTTTTAGATGATGGGATTTTATTAGTAGAATTCAAGTTGGTTGATTGAAGTAGAAGAATGCATCAAGCCTATTCTGTGATAGAAAAGTATCGCTCAAACATAATAGTTGTGTGACCTATAATGCTTCATGGCGTAGAATGTTGGTCTTTAAAAGAGATTTATAAAACTAAGTTACAAGTTGCTGAGATGAGACTGCTTAAGTGGATGAGCGACTTGACACTTAGATACAAAATGAGAAATGAATGTATCCGTGAAAGAGTTGGTGTAGCTTCAGCACTATAAACGAGCCGAACTTGAGTTTGCCCAAACTCGATTCACGTTCGGCTCGATAAACAATACCGCTATTTGTGTTCGGCTTGGTTATATATCGAGTTCAAAAAATATGTTTGTGTTCGGAGTTGTTCACGAACAATGAGTCATTTTTTAGTGTTATTCATGCAACCGTAGGATATTAAAGGTAAGGGCGAGATTCAAATCTTACTATTTATATTAAAATATTCATTTAAATCAAATTTAATATATATTTATTCTATTTTTTAATTTGTACTTTTTATTTATTATAAATCCTTATTGCCTTGTAGTCAATTAAATTATTTAAAGATAATACTCATCATTTATATATATATTATATAATTTAGTTATTTCGTAAAACGAGCTGAATACTAATGAATAAAGCTTTTGTTTATGTTCGATTCGTTTATATATCGAGTACAAAAATATTGCTCGTGTTCAGCTCATTTGCTTAGCCAAACGAATCGAACGTGAGCTACTTAATGAGCAGAACACGAGCTTTTTGGGAACAACGAGTCATTTTGACAGCCCTAAGCTCTAGTGGCAAGCAAGATTAGAGAGGTTGTCTTAAATGATTTGATCACATTAAACGCCGATCATTTGATGATCTGGTAAAGAGAGTAGATATTTTAGATTCGACTTATGTTAAGAAAAGCAGAGTTACACCTAAAAAGGCTTAGGCATGTAAAAATGATCTTAATTTATTAGAATTAAATGAAAAATGACTCTCAATAAGACATAATGGAGAAAAAAGATTCACGTAGCCGACCCAATTTAGCAGGATAAAGGCTTGTTGTTCTTGACTTTGCCTATTATCATGATTAATGAAATTTATGATAATTTCTTACTCTTCTTTTTTTTTCATCTTTAAATATCATGATTTTTTTTCATATTTAGAATATTAGAAGTTGATATGTAATTTAATTTTTATAAACTAATTTATGAGATTAATATGTTTTATTTTTAAATTTTAAGATATTTAAATTGCCGGGGCATTTACATACATACCGCACAATGCATATATATTTACAGGTGTAAAACCTAAATTTTTATATTTGCATATATAAATTAAAATTTTTAACACGCATAAATAATATCAATCTTACTAACATCTTAAACATGAAATACACATTTTCATTCAGAAGCTGATAACATCAAAATGTTACAAACATAAATATCAAAGTCCAGGCTTTAGCTATGTAAATACATTAGAATTATGTGGTATATATGTAAATTTCTCTAAATTACAATGCTGTGTGCGGTGCATGCCCGTGTTTTATATTTTCAAAATATGTCCCGTATCCACACCATATTGTTTCTGAGTTTATTGTATTCATATCAGTGCATCCTTTGTTTGTCCTCCTAGTGCCTAGGTTCAGTCATATTGTTGTCTTTTATTACCTTCATAAATTCAGATTTTCGCAAGCTCACTAAGCGATTCATCTTCCTGAATCTCTTCAGTTGCCTACTTGATTGGTCTTCCCATTTTGGATTATTCATTGGATATTGGAAAGGAGCATGTAAACCTAGGAGATGAGAGATTACAAAAGCTCATATATACCGGAAGTCTCGATGATAAGGCCCTGGACAGGTATCAAATTCACACTTCTCTGGCCTACCATAAAATGCCAAACAAATGGCTGCAATTCAAATGAACAAAATAATTTTAACTAACGCATACTTTTTTAACGCCTAAATTTCATTTTTTTACTATATGCCACCTTACCTATTGAATGAAAATGAGTATTTCACTTTTAAAAGTTAAATAGTGATATTTTGATGTGATATGAATGATTTGGTTGGTATAAATGTAAAAGTAAAATATAGGTGTTAGAATATGAATTGGGTGGCATGTACTTTTTTGCCCCTATTTTTTAAGAGAACGATGAAATATTTGGATAACTTGGAGCAGGTTGGCTGTGGTGTCCATGGCGGGATTGGCTGCAGAAGGCCTCAAATATGATAAGGTCGTTGGCCAATCTGCCGATCTATTCTCTCTTCAGGTGAACATCTGGCAGTATCTGAGTGAAGTTTGCCCATTCCACATCTTTCTCAAATTATCTTATAATTTAGCCTTTCAGAGGTTTTTCAATAGGACTAAGCCCAGTCTTAGCAAAGAGAAACAGCAGAATCTGACCAGATGGGCAGTAAGATCCTCATCTGGAATCTATAATCTATTCCATTCATTTCAACGCATGAAGGCATTTACATAAATACCCACCCAATTCCGACGCATTTACATATCTAACACCTAAACTTCACTTTTTCACATTTTAACTTTTGAAAAAAGTGAAATACACCTGGTATGTAGTTGTTGGATATGTAAATACAAAGGAACTGAGTGGTTGCATGCTGCGTACGTCTTATGTACGCAAATTTTTTCCCCCTAACAGAACTCTTTATAAGTAAATCATCCTTAATTTATTTGCATGCCCTAACAGAACTCTTTATAGGTCTTATTTGCAGGTTCCCTTTTGAAGAACAACAGAGCAGCTCATGAAGCTCTCATGTCTGCCATGTCTAAGAAGGCTAGCGTCTTAGACTGCATCAAAGCAATAGAGGACGCCTCTTAGATCCCGAGGCTGTAAATAGATCCGCAGAAAGTTGTATGGCTAAATGGATCAATGAAAACTAACATTCTTATCTTTCATTTATCTTATGTATATTACACATACACTCGTATCTATAATTTACTCTGATACAACTTTTTACAGCACCCATTTTTTATAATTTTGCCTCACCAGCTATGATTCTTATGTCTCATCAGACCAATCGATGGGATCGTTCTCATAGAACAGGCCGTCAATTATGTTGTCGACGAGAGAGTCGACGAATGAGTTGCAGCTAAGGGTAAGCATTTTACCGATCCGAGTCCTTGCCATAGAGAGCCAAGCGAAAACAGCGGCGGAGGTAACCACGGCGAGGAGGACGCCGGCGGCGCCGGCGATCTCTTCGCAGTCCAATTTCTTGAAGAGGGAGTTCCCTGTAACGAACTCCTCTCCCACGGCGGCCGCGAAGGCAATCTGGAAGAAGATGACAAGATGAGCTGAATAAGAAGCCATCGAACTGTTTGCAGTCATATCAAGAAATCAAGACAAACCATGGCGAGGCGGCCGGAGATGATCTCGAAGTCGTGGCTCTTGCGGGCGCTGTCGACGTAATCGGCGAGGGAGGCGAAGAAGAAAGAGGTGTTGGTGCCGGAATTCTTCACCGGAGATGGGAGTTTTCCGGATCCGTAAGATCGGAGAGTGCAGAGCCGCGGCTGGAGGATAATCTTCCCGCTCGCCGGAGAGAGGTCTGCCGCCGATCGAAGACGAGGGATTGCCGGAAGGTCTCTGCTCCGACCGAAGGCGCTTTCTGCCGGTGCAAGCTCGCAAAGGATCGTCATATGGGCTATGGCGGCGACCATGGGGAGCCAAGTTAGGGGTTCTCCGAAGAAGAAAAGACTGACGTGGATCTTTTGGAAGCAGGAAGAAGCGTGTAGAACTCGTTGGAATCTCAGTTACCACTTTATTCCGATATTGTTCCGCGAGGAAGTGTGGTTACTCCAGGTGAGCTTAACTCGAACGTGGACTTGTTTTGGATCTTTTAATCAAAAACAATTTTTTACAGGAACATGACATCCCTTATCACCAGTAGTTCGATGTTATGATAAGAAGATGAAAGAGAGCCATTTGTGTAAAGTTAAAAAAATTTCATACCTTATTGTTGTTGACATCATCCTAGGGCTTCTACTGTAGTTGACATCGTCCCAGGGCTCTTAGATAGTGTAATAGAGCATAAAAGGTGTTGGAGAGATTGTAGAATTGATACCGAATGTGGGAGGACAGATATGCAGAGCTGCGTACGTTTGTAACCTGCAAATAGGTTACAGGGAGCATTTCAGACTGTTTGCAGGTTACAGACGTACGCAACTCTGCGTATGTCATATGTATGCAATTTTTTCCCCAGCAGGAGGCTGATAATCATCATGAATGGTGGTTGTCATGAATGTGCAAATTATTATTGTCAACAGCCGGTAATAGCGCCCCGCGCCCTTGACAGTTGTCTTGCAGGAAACAATGGATGAATGATGAATCGAGGAAGTGTGTACTACAAGAGAAATTTGCCACATATTCTTAAGCAAGCTACAGGTAACCCACTTGTGAAGAGATGTCACATCACTTATGAGAGTAAAATTGAGAGGGAACTCTCAATATTCAGAAAGTCAAAAAAAAATAAACTCCAAAATCGTTATACATCATATATAGAAGTCTCCTCGAAACTAATACCTAATTAGAAACTAGGGAAATCTGCAAGAACCAAAAAGGAAGCAAAGGAGAGAAATTTGCAAGAAATAGAGAAAGAAAATAGAAAAAAATAACTTCAGTTTAGTCTAGACTGCTGCAGTCGTGAGAGCCAAATATCGCGACATCATGTTACTAAGGAGCTTCCTGCATCCCACATCATTCTTCCTAGGTAGGAGGGGCACCTCCCTCATCTTTGAGAACATCCAGGTCCTGGTATTACGACTCCAATGCCCATCATTGCTGACTTCTTTAATGACAATTGACAGAAGTAAAATATGTTTCCCATCATTGTTAAATGTGGAGGTATTTTTGTGGCCATCATGAAACACTCCTATACTGTCACGGTTGGACCAATATAATATGACATGCTTCCATAGAAATGACATCACACCAAATTTGATCCTACAGCTTGTCTCCAATTTAAAATTCTACTAGACGTTTCTTCCTTGAATCATTTAATTTTCACTAAAAAAGGCAATAGGGTGCCCTTTTTGACTTAGCGCAGCTCCAATTCTCACATTACAGACAACATACTCCAAACTTAAATAATTGATTGAAAATTGAAAGTGCAAAAATGACGGCTTGAGTTACCTGTTTATTCAAAGCCTCAAAATTAGCTTGAGTATCTCCTCACGGCAAAAATTTATTTAACTTGAGAAGCTCAATCAAAGGTGACACAATCGAGCTAAATTTTCTGATAAATTTTCTATAACAAGTGGTCAAGCCATGAAACTGAGGTAATTGAGTAAATTACTGGGGTTCGATCCAAAGCTATAATAGCCTTGATCTTCATTGGGTCTATCTAAATGTCGACATCTAAAATGATGTATCCAAAAAATCACATATATAGTGTATAAAAATTACACTTCTTTGAATTGTCATATAGTCGTTATTTTTTAATGATCTCAAAAATTTGTCACAAATGTTGTAAGTGTTCCTTTTTTGAACTGTTATACACCAGGATGTCATCAAAATATAGAATCACAAATTTTCTAATGAAGGCTTAAAATTTGTCACAAATGTTGTAAGTGTTCCTTTTTTTAACTGCTATACACCAGGATGTCATCAAAATATAGAATCACATATTTTCTAATGAAGGCTTGAAACACATATCTAATGAAGGCTTGTCCATCAGCAACATGAAAAAGTTGGGGGCATTTGGATTGGCCAATGGACATTACGGTCCACTCATAAAATTTATCTTGTGCCTTGAATGAAATCTTCCACTCATCCCCTGATCTCATCTTGAACTGATGATAGCCATTGCGCAAATCAATGTTGGAGAAAACACTAGCTCCATGCAACTGATCAAACAAATTGTCCAATCATGGAATAGAAAATTTGTACTTGATTGTGATCTTATTCACATCCCCGCTATCTATGCACACAAACCATAATCCATATTTTTGGGCACAATTGAAGCCGTCACAACACATGGACCGGTGCTCTCATGAACTAATCCATAGGCCATCAAATCCTCAATCGGCTTTTGTAGCTCCTCATACTCTGTTGGTCGCGTCAGATAAGCTAGTCAATTGGGAAGCACTAGGATAAAGTTGATAGAATGTTGATTCTCTCGCAAAGGTGGTATCCAGGTGGCGGACTATATGTCAAGTCATTTGAAACTTTGCTAGCAAGAGTCACTTCACCACAAGTATGGGCTCCTTGGTATATGCATTCTAGCATCACCAAGGTCAATCTCATTGGAACCTGTCTCATAATATGTAGAAAGGAAGCACAAGGCACGATGGCTCTAATCTCCGTTTGTGTGCTCATCATTGTTTACTTCCTTGATGATAAAAGTAAAATATGCTTCCCATCATTGTTAAATGTGTAGGTATGTTTTTGTCCTTTAATAAACACTCCTTTGTCATGTCGATCCCATATAATATGACATGCTTCCATGGAAATGACATCACACAAAATTTGATCCTACAGCTTGATTCCAATTTAAAATTCTATTAGGCATCTCTTGTTGACATAACTCTCATTTTCCTTCTTCAACCAGGTCAAAGAGAATGGATGTGAATGCTTCTACGTGCTTAGTCTCAATTTGTCTATCCTCTACATAAAAATTTCATTTTCACAACCGACTCCATCTATAATGAGGTTGCAAACCTTGCCTTTTTGTAGTACAACGAGTGTGGAAGATGTTATGTCTGAGCCATTGTTGTTCCATTTTAAGCTTGGTCTGGTCTATCAGTAGTTGGTACTCCTCTCTATTCTTCTCATTTGGGTCTTCACTTTTGATCTCCTCTATTACCCCTTTATCAGTAAAGAAAATTATCATCATATTAAGGCAGTTGCATGCAATGTGTCTATATAAATGATATTTGAAATACTTCCTTGCGAGAAATATTTTGGGGTTGTTAGTCTGATTAGTCCTCGTTTCCTCCTGTGTTGGCTTCTATTCACAAGAGCAGGCTTGGTTAATCTGGCCAGTGTGCCTTTGCTACCTGATCTAAAGGCTGACTCCAATTTGGAAGGTGGTGCAAGTGTAACTTCAATGTCTTGTCTCTACCTTCATAGTTAGTTTATGGGCTTCCTGTAAGATCACAATTGTACAACATTACCCATATATGGTCTTAATCCCTCGAGATATCGGGCGATGGTGTTCTCGTCGGGCTTCATTAGTTTACACTTCAACATAAGTTGCTCGAACTCTGTGATGTATTCTTCTATTGAAAGATCTTTCTATTATAAGTGATAAAGCCTCAAGAACACATTCTAACTGTAATGTGATGGTACTTACATTGCATCTTCCTTTTCATCTTGGATTATGTAGTAATTTTGATTTTCCAACATGCTGGTGTAGGTGCTTCAAATTTTATCTCCATAGAAACACACCATCCTAGTTTGATGAGGGTCAGTTTTACCCTTCTATCATTTGGAATATCCTTAGGCTCAAAAACTCATGACATTGTCTGGAGCTATTCAATAAACTCATCCGGGTCCATATGACCATCAAAATCTGGTAGGTCTAACTTAACTCTTAAATCACATTCTCTCCCATTATACTCAATGTTGAATCGACATGGTATTGCCTCTTCGTCACTTGAAGCTTTTTGGTGGAAATGTTTTCTTCATCTCCTTCGTCTAGGTGGTCACTCATATTGTTGTGGGTGACTTCCCCGTGATGTTTTCTTCTAAAATTAGTGAGCCTTTGCTATAATTGAAGAATTTTTCATTGCAATCCTCCATGGTAATTTTTTGATTACCTCGTTATGGGTTTCTCGTATCATGGTGGCTCATTATTCTAACCCATTATTTGATTATCTTTGATACCAAATAACACTATATTATGGCTCTTATACAGCGTAATAATGCACAAAAGGTATTGGAGAGATTGTAGGATTGATACCAACCCTGGGAGATGGAAATAGGCTGATAATCGACAAGAATGGTAGTTGGAACCGTTAACCGGGAACAGAAATGTGTAGATTCATGTTGTTGACCGTAGGTAACAGTGCCCTTGACAACTATTCGGTAGAAAACAAGGGATAAATGACGAATCACCAAAGTGTGGATGGTGAGAGAGATCCATCGCATATTCCTAGTAAGCTACGGACACGTCACTTGCCAAGGGAACACTCTGTATTCAAAATCTCAGAAAAGCTAAAAACTAGAAAAAAATTTTATATATCATATATAGAAGTCAGCAAATACCTATTTAGAAACTAGAGGATTATATAAGAACTAAAAGGGAAGGAAGTGACAGAAATTTTTTTTTTTTGGAGTAAGTAAAATACAAAAGGAAAAAAGTAGTTTTTGTTCGGCATAGACTCCCGTTGTCGCGGGAGCCAAATTCCAAATACATCGGTTTCAAATGCAAGGTTCAAATATTATACACAAAGTTTGGTTTAAATATAATAAACAATTTATGAAGTTATAATAGTAAGTTTCAAACATTGATAACATATTAAACCTCGAATCAAACTTTGTATTATCTCTTGCAATCATGTTTAAACTTTATTCTGGTCATTCTTGAATCATGCTTAAATATAGTGTGAACTGTATCAAACAATATTAAAATATGATTGGAACTTGTATTTTATCTTTATTATTCTAAATAAAATCAATTCGTATGAGTTACTCTGCTATGTATGCAGACTTAAGCAAATGTTGCAATTTCGTAAGCAAATGTTGCAATTTCGTATGAGTTACTCAACCATATGAAGCATAGTGTTATGCTCATTGAAATAATCAACTTGGTTGAAGATAAGAAAGCACTGTTTTGGATATATATTAGGATGGTTGTTGCATGGGAGGACACTAAAAGAAATAAATAAGTATATTGCTCTATGAGGTTTTATGCCCTCAAAAATATCAACCTAGTCCACAATATTTAGATTTTTCATAAGATCATAGTTTGAGCTTATATAAT